CCTATTGGGTATAAAGCAGTGGCTTTCAACTTGTGGGTCGTGACCCCTTTGGGTGGCGAACGACCCTTTCACAGGGGTCACCTAAGGCCATTGGAAAACAAATATTTCACAGTATATAGATACATATTGTTTTGTGATTAATCGCCATGCTTTAATTATATTTAGTTATGTTCAATTTGTAACAATGAAAATATACCCTGTATATCAGATATTTACATTACGATTCATAACAGTAGCAAAATTACAGTTATGAAGTAGCAAAAAAGATACTTTTGTGGTTGGGGGGTCACCACAACATGAGGAACTGTATTAAAGGGTCACGGCATTAGGAAGGTTGAGAACCACTGGCATAAAGTGAGCCTTCTTAGAAGGAGAAACAGAGAATCTCACCACCCCCAAGAATGAAGAGCCACTGGAATGGTGCATGTCTAAAATCCCTATGTGGAGAGGTGGATGTGAATGGTAGCTTCACGAGACAGTGGCTGGTTTCTTGGTTCATGGAATGAGTAAAGCTGAGTGCCTTCAAGCAGGAGGCTGGTTTACAGAATGCGGTGCCCTTTGGGCATTTATTAGTGCTGAAGGAGCTTTTTAACACTTGTCTAACCAAGCAGGGCAGAGGCCAGGAGCAACATGAGAGGTTGAGGACCATAGAGAGATGTGACTGCTGGTATGGCTTAGAAGCAGGGCTATGGGCAAGTGTACTATAGTCTCAATGTTTTCTGCTTCTGACTAATTTGTTAACTTCCCTAATAATTGGATTATTGTTTGGGAATTCTGTGTGGCCATTGCATTGGATTATTCGACCTAGCAGAGAAGTAGAGTGACATGGGAGGGACAAGTGGGGTCAGAATATAGGAAATAGGAGGGTGAGGGCATGTCCAACCTCTGCCTTGTGGGTATCAGCCTGGAGCTCATGGGGCTTTGGATTCTTATTCCCCTTTATGCCCCAGGGGGTGAGAAGGGAATCCAGCAACTGCAAGTTATCAGTGTTCCTAATAAACCCCCATAATCATGAGGATTGTCTGCGAGTTTGTAAACGCCATTGCAATGAGTTATTGAACCCAGCAGAGAAGTAGAGAATGCTGTGGGAGGGACAGACAACTGGTGTACATAGCGAGGAAAAGGTTGACTAGAGAGAGGTTTGTTTGACCTCTGCCTTTTAGGAATCAGCAGTGAGTTATTGATCTTCATTCTCCTTCCCCTTTGTGAGGTTAGAGGCTGTCAGACAAGCCCTCTACCATGCCATCAACTTTACAACTTGCTATGATGGATCAAGTTGTTAATTAGCGGATATTGACTATTAATACCTTTTTCTTCCATGTATGTTTAGAGATGACATAACACTACTCAGACAAGAGGTCCAAGACCTACAGGCTTCACTTAAGGTTAGACTAAAAACAATTATAATTGTTTATTTTCAGTGTGTCAGACAATACATTAAATGACTAATTAAAAATCTTTTAAAATTTTTTTACTAGGAAGAAAAATGGTACTCAGAAGAATTAAAGAAAGAATTAGAAAAGTTTCAACAGTTGCAGCAGCAAGTAATTGTTTTCAAATACTTGAAACATGTTAATAGTTTATTTAAGGTGGTTGCTTTGATATTAGCAACCTTTAAATTTTTCCCGTGTTTAATAGCTCTATACTATACGTCCTAGGCAATTTTTAATGACTGCACAGAAATATAAGATGCTTCAAAAGCTTGTGGTAAAATTGCATTATCTTTTAATTCCATTTTTCTCTGAACTTTTTGAAGCTCTCTTCTATATGAGAATTAAAGAGTTAACCTTTTAAAGGTGCTTTTGATAAGAACCTGTTACCTTAAAGATGATTTTTTTATAGTAGGCTACTTCAAAATTGTTTGACATTGTATGTATAACATACAGATACAAACAGTAGTGAACCTCTTCAAAGGATGTGTGTTTGTATCCAATTGGAAATAGCGAGAATGTCTTTTGGTAGAGGAAGGACTGTGTTTATTTATGACTTATGTTTGTGGAGATCGTCTTCATACAGGAGAAAACGTCCATGCCAGTGATAGGTTTTAAAAGCTAAGCTATGTAGTATGTAAATACTTTGAAAA